GAATGCTGCCTGGGTTTAATTTTCTTTTTTATTTTTTGCTGGTGTCAGTGATTTTTTTCTGTATTCTTATCACAGCAAAGTGAAGTTTCTATTTCTGAGTAGTGAAAGATTTACATGAAAAAGGGAAGTCTGTAAAAATAGGTGGAACTGCTGTTTGCATTTCAACCTGAGGTGCTAAGAGGCCACAGGGCTCTTCATCACTTCTTCCCACTCTGAAATAACATATGCTACAGAGCTGGCTTGTGAAGGGGCTCAGGATGCAGGTCATTTGTTACATGCTGGAGTCTGAGATGCCTTAATTCAGGCAGAGATTTTGGGTGGTGTAGCTTAGCAGGGCATTATGAAGAATGAAGTGTTGGGTTTGTTACTGATGGGAGCTGAATTGAAGCTAAACTGGGTGTAAGTACAGGATCCAAAGTCTGTAAAGTTAATGAAGTTAATGCTCTTCACAGGCTGTTTTTGCATGCACTCCTGGGACTACAGTTCCTTCACCCATCTCCTGACTCAGATTTTTTTTCTGCGGAGGGGTTGGTGATGCTGGAGACCCCAGAGCTGCCTCCTGAGGGGCAGTGGAGGGGCAGCTCCAATCTCTGCTCTGTGTGACCAGTGACAGGACTGGAGTTGTGTCAGGCCAAGTTTAGGTTGGATCTCAGCAAAAGGTTCTTCCCCCAGAGGGTGGTTGGCACTGCCCAGGCTCCCCAGGGCAGCGGGCACAGCCCCAAGGCTGCCAGAGCTCCAGGAGAGTTTGGACAACGCTCTGAGGGCCAGGGTGGGATTGTTGGGGTGTCTGTGCAGGGCCAGGAGCTGGGCTGGATGGTCCTTGTGGGTCCCTCCCAGCTCAGGGTATTCTGTGATTCGATGATATCTTTTGCTGCATGTGCCTTTATGTTCTGTAACAATAAAGCAATAAAAGGCAGGTTGCAAGAATGTGAGATGGGCTTAAAAATCTCAGTATGGAGAGGCCTACAAATGAGCATTGCTTTGTAGTGTTTTTTTTCTTGTTTCTAAAGATTTAAGTTTCTCTCACTTCACATTTTCAAATCTTTTTCCATACCCAGGCGGAATAGAAACCTGCTTTTTTTGTTTTGGGGACATTTTCTGAGGAGAGATAAGATTTTTTTATACAGTTTTTCACATTTGGAGGAAAGCACCAGCTCTGGCAGGGCTTGAGATACCAGCACAGGAGCTGATCCCACGGGGGGGTTAACAAATGGTCAGGAGGGATGTTTACTGCTTTTCTCTGAACAGCTCCAGAGCTGAGGGCCAGGAGCCCCTTGTTCACTGCAGCCCAGTGATGGCCCTGCTTGAACTGAAATCACCCAGAAGGAAACCAGTGGCCTCCAGTTCCCTGTCTGGTGGTGGCTGTGGCCTCAGCTGTTACTGAGGAAGCAGGAGCTGAGCTCTGTTCACACCGGCCCCATCCACAGGGAGGTCACTTTGCCCTTAGGGCAGGTGTGACCTGCAGGCAGGGCAGGTATAAGACACTCACCACCCATCCCTCCCTCCTTCCATCCCTCCATCCCTCCATCCCTCCACCCATCCCTCCATCCCTCCCTCCATTCATCCATTCCACCATCCATCCATCCATCCATCCCTCCCTCCATCCCTCCCTCCATCCTTTCTGCCCCAGCCCTGTGTCACTCAGGTGACTGTGTGCACCATTAGCTCATTTGGCTTAAACAGGAGGCAAAGCACTCCTGCATGGCCCTAGTCCTCGAATCCAGAGTCTGACAGTGCCCACACCTGCCCTGGAGGAATGTCAGCAGCTCTTGGAGAAGCAGTTTGGCAGCTCTTTGCAGAAGCCTTTTTCTTTACCTGCTCCATGCTGGGTTTCCACAGGGGGAATGTGTGAACAAGCAGAAGGCTTGTTGCCTACAAGCAATTGCCTTCTTGTGGGACATCACTCACCACAGCATCCTGCAGGACTGAAGGTGTGCAGTTATGTTCTGCCTCTGGACACACTTAATTTAGACCTAAGTGAGGCTGACCTTATAGAAAAACTACAAACTTGATCCCGACCCCAAAAATAGCAGGCAAGGAATGGGAGAATAGCCTTTGGAGTGGGGAACAATGGAATTTCATTTCACATTAATTCTTGAATTACTTTCATATGATGTCAGAAAGGGTTTTCAGATGAGAGAAATTTCAGAGGAGAAATTGTAACTTTTTTTGTTTACTGTTCAAAGGAATGGAAGTGGTGCCTCAAAGTGTCTTCTGGTGGGAAAGTTTCACTGTAGCAAGTTATGGGATGTGTCTGATGCCAGTGGTGTGAAAAACTGCAAAGCGGTGCAGAACAAAGCTGGGGCAGGTACTCTGCAGCAAACAGGGGCTCCTGGGGGGTGAAGAATTGGGAGCAGACTGGGGATAGAATCATCTCACTCTACTCCACCAGCCCAGGTTGCTCCAAGCCCTGTCCAACCTGGCCTTGGACACTTCCAGGGATCCAGGGGCAGCCACAGCTCCTCTGGGCAACCTGTGCCAGGGCCTCCCCACCCTCACAGGGAACAATTTTTTGCTTATATCTAACCTCAGTCTATCCTCTGGCAGTGGGAACCCATTCCACTTATTCTGTCCCTCCATCCCTTGTCCCCAGTCCCTCTCCAGCTCTCCTGGAGCCCCTTTAGGCCCTGGAAGGGGCTCTCAGGTCTCCCTGGAACCTTCTCTTCTCCAGGTGAACCCCCCCAGCTCTCCCAGCCTGGCTCTGGAGCAGAGGGGCTCCAGCCCTGGGAGCATCTTTGTGGCCTCCTCTGGACTTGTTCCAGCAGCTCCACGTCCTTCTTGTGTTGAGGAATGCAGAGCTGGAGGCAGCACTGGTGGATGGGTCTCACCTAAGCGGGACAGAGGGGCAGCACCTCAGAGCTGTGGTGTTTGTTTGATGGCAGTGCTGTGCCTGCCCTTCTCTGGTGTGTTCCTGTGGCACAGCAGAGCCGGGATGTTCAGCTCGGGTTAAAGTAATGGTAGAGGGTGGGATTCAACCTGTGGCACATGGATTCCTTTCACCTGAGATGAAGACTCCCTGGACTCCACCAGAGAGTAACATGTGACTCCACTGATGTCACCTTCACATCACTCCTGGTGGGATGAGCTCCCCAGAGGTGCCTCTGTGCTGCATGTGATGGATGAATCTCACACAAAGTGCACTTGGAGGGGCTTTGTGTCACCAGAGCAGCACCTGCACTCCCTGCACTTCTCTGAGAGCTGCTTCTGGACTGACTGGGGATCAGCAGGGATCAGTCTTGGAGTCTGAAGTGCAAACAGAGGGGCTGGTTGGGTGCCCACAGACCAGCTGTGCCTTCCCGTGGGGCTGGTGTGTCCAGCAGAGCCTGGGGGCCCCGCCTGTGTCCATGGGTGGGTGCTGGCCCTTGGCTGTCCCACGGCCCCAGAGGCTCTGGAGTCTCCCTTGGCTCTGCTCTGGAGGAGCTGCCTCGTGGCCGGGCTTGTTAAAGCTGCTCTAGGTACGAGTGTGACCCCAGGACACTGTGAGGGTTTGGTTCCCTGTCCCTCAGGTCCTGCTGGAATTTCCATACAATGACATTTACAGGAGTGCACAGAAATGTTGTCTGAGTTGTGGGTGTCCACCCAAGCGCGTTTGTTGGTTGCTGTGGTGGGGTCTCACGGGACACAACCTGGGAAGGCACTGCTTGGGAGTAGGGAAATTCTTCTCCTTTGCCCAACTGCTGAGGAGAGCTAAATTCTTGAGAGTCCTGGACCATGAATGTGCTGTTTCGGTGGGTTTGTGTCTTTGGGCAGATCATGGATGAATTACAGCGTTTTTTGTTTTCTAGGAGACCAATGGGATAAAGTGTGTTTAGGCTAAAGCCTATTTGTTCCACTTTTGGTATCTTCCTCCACATACACCCTGTTTTTTTTATTTTTGGACTAAAGACCTTAAAGCAAAGGCCCTTTGCTCATACAACATGTTGAGGTTAATTCTGACCCACTGGATCCCATACAAACCGCTTGCACTTAGGAGCTTGGCATGAGATGCTGCCAAAGGTGACTTTCATGGTGCCTGGTAAGAATCTAAACCTTCTGAGTGCCCCTGAGTGAGGTACACCTCATACTAAATGTGGAGGAGATGCTTTCAGAGTCTTGTGTCATCCATTGAGAACAGGAGGCTGTTCCTGTGAGGCCACTCGGATGCACTGCTTGTTCTGTGTCATGTCCTGCTTGATGTGCCTCACTTACACTGCTACAAACAACAAACCCAACACACTGCTGTGCCTCCAGCCTGGTGCACAGGGACTTAAATCACTTGTTGTTATTGCCTGTCTGTTTGTATTTTTTTAAGCATTTGTGTTCCACCAACACACTCAGAGTGAGTATTCTCGAGGGGGAATTTCCTTCCTGATAAACAATACTGTACTGTGATTCAGCAGGAAGGATGTGGTGGTTAAGGCACTGGACTGGGATTTGGGAGACATGGGTTGTGTTTCCAACTCTACCACAGTCAAGATGTGATGAGTGGAAGGGCAAGCAAAACAAAGAGAAGGAGCTGTTTAGCTGTGGCAAAAACATACTTTCACGTGGTCTGTCTGATTTGGGGTTAGATAGGTCTGGGGTTTTCACAGAATCATAGAATGTGCTGAGTTGGAAGGGACCCATCAGGATCATCAAGTTAACTCCTGGCCTTGTGCAGGAGTTTTGTTTGGCTACTCAAGTAAACAGCACTAGAACTCCTGTTTGTGCAGTTCAAATCTGAAAGCTCATCTTGACCTCTTCCAGGAGTCCAGATGTGGGTTTAACTACATGTTGCTTTAACGTGCATGAGATCTCAGATGCCACTTTTCAGTGTTTCTTGGTTGACTTAATTCAGTTCACCATTGAATTCTCTGATCTTCAGGCAGTGTGTAACTGTGGCTGCTACACCAAGTTGTACTTGCATGTAGATTCTCCACTCTCTTGTTAGATTCAAGGACAGCAGACCACACACGAGATATTCCCTTTGTCATACAGGGTGAAGTTCCTGCAATTTGACAGTAACTCTATTTTCTTTTTAGAAGCAAGAGCTTGGAGTGCCATCTCTGAGTTAGACCTCCAACCTCAGCATCCTGATCTGGTGCTGCCTTCGGGAGGATGAATCAGGACAGTGACTCAAGTGATCAGCCCACGGGTGAGTTTTCTGCTTCTCCAAGTGTTTGGCTGTCTTCTCCTGTTCATTCAGCATGATTTGCTTTCCATTTATTTTCTTAGTGCTATTGGAAGAGAATGCTGAGTCACAAATAAAGCAAAACCTGTGAATCAGTGCTAAATTACATGCCCTGAAGGTCATTGGATCTTTGAGGCTTCCTGTCCACATCTGGATATCAGAATTCTTAGAATTCTAGTCCCGGTTGAAAAGTTTGCTGGCAATTGTTTTTATAACTTCTCACCAGTTCCGAAGCACACAGGGTTTTATTACTGTGTTACACGACTCATTCAGCTTTTAGCCATAGTTTAATTCTCTCAGTAACTGCTTTGGTAGTTGGTTTCCCTGTGCAGAAAGGGAACACGTGCACACACACCATTGTCACGTATGTCCCAGGAAGTCTCAGTGTCGGATCCTTGCTGGAGACATTGAATGGACAGGAATTTGTTACTTTTTCTGGCTCAGATCTACCATAAATTTCCTCTCCTCTTCCATCCCCATCTTTGGTTGTTGGAATTCAGCCTCATTGAGTGCTTCTGGCAGTTTCTGCCCCGGGGCAGGGCCTGGGAGAGGCGGGTGCCAGAGGCAGTGCCTGTGGCCTCCCAGGCTCTGCTCAGCCTGGGCTTTTTTGGAAGTGTCAAGGGGCATTCTTAGCTCTGACGTGAGGGCTATTTTTTGACAGTTCCCATTGTTCCCCACTCTTTGTTCATGGGTGAGGTCTTTTTGTCTGAGGCCTTTGTCAGAAATACAGGCTGTTAGGAGGCCTGTCTGCTCACAGGTTTGGGGAGCTTTCTTTTGTTGTCAAGAGTCCTGAGAATTTCTTTCTTCCTTTTTCAGACTTGCTTGGGCAAACCGGCCCAGACAATATGTGCCTGAGGGGATTGCTGGGATACCCCCTTGCTGGGACAGCCAGGAGAGTGGTCCTCAGAGCCACACCCCTTGTGCCCTGCTCTGGCTGTCACAGGCCACGTGGCTGTAGGCAGAGCAAGTTCATGAGTTTGGGGTTCTAAACACCTACCTGCACTAAAGCCCTTGCTGTTGTCTATGGGTTTGAATCTGGGAGCTCAAGAATGGAAAATTTTAGAAAAATTCCTGTGGTAGGGGAAGTATCTATTCTGTAATACTCAGCACGTATTTTTATTACTGTGAACAGGTGATGATTACACATCAGGATGCGTGGAGATTCATGAATCATCCACAAAAGGACATTGGGGCTGGGTTTTTGGAAAAAGACTTTCAAGGCAAGTCTCTATAACACATCCTGGGTGCTCGTGAGAAATGTGCAGTCAGACTATTCACAGATGGCTCGTTGCAGCCTTGTGTTTTGTAGGGGTAATGAACGTCGTGGTTTGAGTTTAGATCCACTCTCTAAAACAGGCACAGGAAAGAAGTTGTCCAGAGGGACACATTTCCAATGTGTGCATTTTATACCTTCTGTTGAAGTGCTTAGTCCTGGTTACTCTTGGAGTCAAGTCCTGGGTTAGACAGGTGTGATCCACTGGGGATTTATATCTTGGCTGAAGATAGGGATCTTCCACTTTGGGCCTCTGTTCAGCTTCCAGCACCACCTATTGAGTGTTCACTTCATTCTGAGCTGCCACTGTAACTATACTTAGAGAGGAAGGATATTATAATCTTGTGAAAGATTAAAATATTGTTACTGTAATCCAGCTGGAAGGGGAGCACTTTTCTCAGGGTAGGAGACAGCCAAGGCTTTTCCCATTCTGTCCTCCCCTTGTATACAGGAAGGAAGTGCTGGCAAAGGCCCCCCGGGCTTCCTGTCGACTCGGGAGCACATTTCCAGACACAGCCTTCTCCACCATCCATCACCCAGCCCGGCCAAACAATCGTGGCAGCGCCAGGGGAAAAACACCCGGCTGGGATAAACAGCAGGGAGGAGCAGGAGCAGCACCCTGGGACCTGGGCACGGGCCAGCTCCTGCTGGGGCTGGGGCTGACAGCAGGGCACCGGGCTCCGCTTCCCTTCCCTTTGGAACTGAGAGCTTAATGATCCAAATTCCACTTTAGAAGAAGCAGCTTAACAAAGGAAAAAGAGGGGGAAAGAAGGAAAAGGGCTGATGTTTAGTAAAGAGGTTGTGGAGGCACTCTTTACAACACTGCCAGGTTGTGGAGCCTGGAGCCAAGGAGGTGGCCGGGGATGCTCCCAGGCGCAGAGCACCCTGGGGTGATGTGTGAGTAACTGGGATGGAGGCAGAGCTTTCTGTCAGGTGTGCAGGGCAGGGCAGTGCTGAGGCAAAGGCATCTGTGATGCCTCAAAGAAGGAGGAACTAAGTAGGGTGGAAGCCTGACCTTTAACTGAATCATCTTTGCTGAATAGGATTCTCTCTGAGAAGATATTCAGAACTGAACTGGGATCTTTTTCTCTGTGTCACTGCTTTTGTTTAAACTCTGCATTACAATATTACGGTAATATTTTCAGATCTGTCTGCTCTGTAACCTTTTTTTAACTTGAAACAACTGTTTGGGTTTATTTTTTTTCATTATGATTTTAGTATCCTCACAAACTTCGAGCTACAACTACCTTAAGGAGGTTATAGTGAGGTGGTGGTTGGTCTCTTTGGTCATGTCCCAAGATATAGGATGAGAAGAAATGGCCTTAAGTTGTGCCAGGACAGATTCAGATTAGATACTAGAAAATATTTTTTCATTGAAAGAGTGTTCAGGTATTGGAATGAGTTGCCCAGGGAGGTGGTGGAGTCACCATCTCTGGAAGTGTTCAAGAGGAGCCTGGATGTGGCACTTGGGGACATGGTTGGTGTTGAACATGGTGGTGGTGCTGGTTGACAGTTGGACTTGATCTTAAAGGAATTTTTCAACCTTAACGATTCCATGATTCTGTGACTCAATATTTGAGGCATAATTCTCCTTCCACACCTATCCAGAATGCTCTGTGGGTAAGCTGAGCACCTGGATGGGTCTGTCCAGGTGTGAGCATCCTCACAGACAGAGCCTGCTAACGTGACCGTGTTCTCACTATTTTCAAACCATTGATTGTTCCCTGGCCTGAGATGCTCCAAAGCTCCCCCCTAGTAGGTTGTCCAATAGCAAGAGGACTGGCTTGTGCATGGGAATGGAAGGAGAGAGATGGAGAGACTGTGAACCACCAAAGCCCTTGTGCCTGCCCTGCTTGTTTCACACTGATGCTGCCCTGGCTGAGCTGAGCTCTGTGTTTGACCCCAGCCTCAGGCTCAGCCAAGCACATCAGCTGGTGAAGTAGTGTGGAGAAAAAACACCTCCAAGACTTCTCCATTTGAGTCATTGGGGGGTATAATTCAAGTTAAGAGTCCAGCCTAATGGTAAATTTGGAATTTTTCCTGAAACTTCAGCAGTTGCTCATAGTGTAAGAAAATATTTTGTGGGGTTGCTTTTTTCCTGAATTAACTGATGCTACAAGATTCCATCAACCTTTCCTTGGACTTTTCTCCCTGAAAAAGCCTCTGTCAGTAATTCCTGCAGCATGACCACCTTAGCAGTGTGTCCAGTGTGCTCAGGGTCAAAGCAATATTTAGTTAGGCTTTGTTTTGGCAAAACTGGGATGAAACTTGAATATGAGTGTAACCTCTTGAATTAAGGAAAGAGTGTGTTGTTTATTGAGAAGGTTTTTAGGCTGGAGTTGCAGAAGTAACTGGTAAAGACTTCCCAGGAGCAAATTATATGCTCCTGAAATCTGCCCATTCTGCCCCTGCATGCACACTGACCCTGGGATGGGGTATTTGTGACACATCTTTCTATGCAGTTTATGCTTTCTATCCTTTTTTACCATGTGTAACTCTTAACAGTCTTGATAAGCAAAAAAAATCCCCAGCTCTGTGCTGGCTACCTGCAGGAGCACCTTCTCTGCCCAGCCATATGTGCCTTTCTGGGGTTCTTTCATTCATTCTCCTGTTTCACATTTTTATTGTCCTTTGTCTGGGCTTGCAGCAGGCGTGGGGTGGGCAGTAAGCTCCTTAAATGCCTTTACAGTACTCTGTGGGACAGAAGTCATTTCTTATTTAAGATCTTTACAGAATGCAGGATTATGGAGCCCTCATTTAAAAACTGAAAGCATTTCTACAATGCTAACAATTATTTTTAAGTCTACCAGAAATGCAAATGAACAACAGCAATTGAAAAAGAAGTTACTGGGAATGGGATGGATAATGAACAGCAGTACCGGCTGCGTGGTTATGGAAACATTACCCCACAAACTCACCCATCTGGCCTAGAGCTGGGGAATGGCAGGTTTCCCCACTGCTCAGCACTGAGTGTAGGTGCTGGCAGCTGAAGCTGTCAACTTTAAAATTAAAAAGGCAAAACACAGCAACCTGATTTCAGGTCCTGCTGCAGCCCTGCAGTCCCCAGCCCATTTGGGGCATTTGACTCTCTCATTTCCCTCTTTGGGACAGTATTAATCTTCCCCTTTGTGAAGCTGTTTGACTGTACATGGGAAAGTGCTCATGTTAACAGCATGCAAAATTTCTTAGTTTCCTTGTAGAAAATAACTGGTTGTGTCTTTGCTTGTTCTGGCCATCCTGATGAGAAGAGTAGAGGAGACTGAGGGGAGAGCTCATGGCAGTTCCAGCTTCCTGGGCAGGGGCAGAGGAGGGGCAGGCCCTGAGCTCTGCTCTGGGGGGACCAGGGACAGCAGCCAGGGAATGGCTGGAGCTGTGTCAGGGCAGGCTCAGGTTGGATCTCAGGATGAGGTTCTTCCCCCAGAGGGTGGTTGGGCACTGACCAGGCTCCCCAGGGCAGTGGGCACAGCCCCAAGGCTGCCAGAGCTCCAGGAGGGTTTGGCTGATCCTCTGGGGCACATGGTGTGACCCTTGGGGATGGGCCTGTGCAGGTCTGAGGGTTGGACTTGATGGTCCTTGTGGGTCCCTTCCAGCTCAGCACATTCTGCGATTCTGTGAGACATCACTTGAATGGGCAGTGGGTGTGATTCTACTTGGTTCCTCCAGGCACTGGTCTCTTAGTTATTTTATTAAT